CCCTGCTATACATTTACATCCTAAAGGATCCTCCTCCCAAAGTTCCTCATGGGAACTATACCCCAAAGATGATGTTTACCATCATCCTAACCTACACACATGGTTATTCCTTCATTGGTAGCTCACCTATCCCCTAGCCTGTGGCCCATTTTTAGGCACGTGGTCCCCAGATGGCAGTAAGCATATCCAGAAAATGAAGTTGCCTAGTATCTCTTGGAGAATTCAGTTCTGTAAAGAACATTCTGGAGGGCTGGGAGATGATGGAAGAATGGAAAAGAGACTTAGGACCACAGAGCCATAGAACACCAGAACTGGAAAGAAGCTTAACATAAAAAAGAAGTCCACACAAGATCACCTAATCTAATTCCTCCATTTGACATAAGAAACCAAGGCCCACAGAAAAGTGACTTCCCCAAGGTCACAAAGTGACAGAGCTAAAACTTGGATTTTTCTTTTTTTTTGTGAGGCAATTGGGGTTAAGTGACTTGCCCAGAATCACTAGTGAGTGTTATGTGTCTGAGGCTGAATTTGAACTCAGGTCCTCCTGACTTCAGGGCTGGTGCTCTATCCACTGCACCACCTAGCTGCCCCAAGTTGGATTCTTTAATCTACTCTTTCCACTATGTGAAAGACCACACCTAGATACCTGAACACTCCTCCCCCCCCCCCCCCCCACACACACACACACACAATCAGCTAAGCAGATCCTCCATGCACTCCTGGATGTGTGACATATATACAGATTAATGGCCATCAGAGACACACCAAGAAGGCCCTTACATGCACCTCTCAACAATGACAATCATACACAAAAACTGCTCTAGCATACACACAATGCAACACACACAAACACAGGGACACAATACAAGGCTCTCAGGAAGCACAGTCCAGGCACACAGACATTGGGACCCACTCCCAGCTGCTGCCCTTTCCCTCCTCCATCTGTTGGAGGGAGGGGATGGGGGAAGGGGCACTGAGAGAGACTTGGATGTGCCCTCAACATTTCAGTTAGCACAGATGCTGTTACAGATGCTCAGTTAACTGCCAAGCCTATTTGGGGAAGGTGCAATGAAACATTAAAAAAAAAACTCTCCCCCATTCAAGAGACTTAGTGCAGGGGGCAGAGCCCAAAACCCACAAATTGACTCTATCCCTGTCTCAGATGCTTAATTTGATTCTTGGGACATGGATGCCTCCCTTACAAAGGGAAGGGAATGGGCACTGGAGGGGATGTGGGTAGGAAGGGGGAGAACTAGATGAGGGGGTCACTGCAGAGGAAATGAGTGAGGAAATCAAGGCATTACCCTCTCACCTCCTCCGGTTTCTGTTGAGTATCTCACCAATGCCCACAGTATTGGAAGAAGTTCGGAAGCCTGAATGACAGGGCCCAGCTTGCAATGGTGTTTTTTGTTTTGATTTTCAGGTTTGGTTTTTTTTTTAAACAAAGCTTTCTGTGTCTTCTCCAGTCCACTCTGTATTACCCAGGATGCTGGTGTAAAGCTCACCACTGTGGACATAACCATCCCTGGCTGGGGTCAATGAGGTGCTGTCTACCAGTACTGTTATCTCCTTCTCTAGCTTGAGGGTAGCATGGGGGGGGGGGGGGGTGTATTGGGACTCAGAAAGGGCAGGAAGAAATAAAAGTACAGAATTTGATGAGAGAGGGTAGAATCCACCACCTAGAAACTACTTGTCTAGATCCCCTCCCCAGATATCCCCCAATCCTGGCCCCCAACACCTGCTGTGTAGAAAGTCAGAACAAATACCAAGCTGCCTACTCCTTACCCCCACCCTAGGCACAAAGCCAGAGCTGCAGCAGCCCAGAGGGCAGAAACAAGATGGGACAAAGTTTCTGGGTGCATTTATTTATCCACAAGCATCACCCAAGTCTGATTTTTTTTTTTCCCTGCAGCTTAATTTCTCCAGCCCTGAGCTCTGGGGCCAGTTCTAAGGGGAGTACAGCTACTTCCAAAGCATCCAGGAATTTTTTCATTCATCTCAGAAACATTACATTATCTGCTAGGCATGCCAGGCTACACTCTTCCAACTTCACATTTGGACCTCAAAATACCACAAGGCTGCACCTACACCCCTGCATCCCCACCCACACTGCACAGAATAAAGTCTGCTTCCAGGCACCCAGGGGCTGGGATGTCTAGACCGACCCCAGGAATCAGGGAAGCACACCATCTCAGTGAAGTCTGGGGTCCTCAGAAGTCAGGGAATCCAACCTTTATCTGTGCAGAAACTCCAAGCCAGTCGTCATCCATACTGGACTCTGATGGGGGAGCTCTCTACCTCCCGAAACAACCCAGTCTACTATTGGAGACTTCAAAATCCCAACACCACCATTTTTACCCCAATCCTTGGATCAGGATCAAGATTAAACATTTTCCTCCCCAGCCCAGACCTGGTGAAGGGGGAGAATAGGAAGTGCTGTCCCACCAATCCCTGGCCACCTGTCTCCCCCTTCTCTGTCTCAGAGTCCAGGACCTTACAGAGCTCAGTTATGAGGACCCAAAGTTCCCTTTCCACCGGTACAAATGACCTCTGTTAATGATGATGGGAGGGGGGAGACGTGAGTTGGTGGAGTTGGGCTGAACACTCTATTAATCAGGACTTGTGGAGGGGGTTAGAGAAAGCTGTGATCAGGGCCCCACCCTCTGAGGGAAACTGAGATGGGGGAGGGGAGGGGTACACAGAAAGGTGACCAAGGAAAATTCATGACTTGCCCAAAGAAGGGAAAGAGATCCTGCCCTCCACCCAGGGTCCTTGAGAAGGATCCCCCCACCCAGGATACAGGACATTAAACTGGCTGATCTGGGGAGGGGAGTCTATTTTCGGAGAAACCAGAGAGCCCCCAAGGGGTTGGTAGGAACTGCTGGGAGCTACCGCCCTTTCATAGGCCCAAAATGTTACTGGCCATCCTAGGAAACCCAAAATGAAATTCTGTTCTTCGAGTTCAGATCTCGACAGAGTGCTGTTGTGATCTCTGTTGTGATGGGCGACAGGAAGGCGCCAGACAGTCTGGGCTTGAGGTGGGGGCCACCAAACCGAAGGAGGAAGAAATCCCTCTAGTAGAGTATCGAGGTATCCAGGGGCCACCCCAGCCGAGGGTCAGGGCTGCAGTGACCTCTGTCCCTCCAGGAATCATCCCGGTATAACCCTTCTAGGAGCTCCCTCCCCATCAGCCAGGCCCTCCCCAGGTTACAAGGTGCAGCAGCTCTCCTCCTTCAGCTTCCAAGTCAGTCCTCGGCTTTCCAGACTGAGCTCAGACGCGGGGCGCGGCACTAGAGGCCTCGGGGACCCCTAAGTCAAACTGCTCTGGGAAATGGGAGCCCAAGTACCGGAGCGGGGAGGAAGATGTGGTCCTTGTAGTCCTCTGGGAATCTATGTTGTTATTGGAGAGAGAGGGGGCCATCACCTTTTGGTACACCCGCCCCCGCTCCTCCGCGGCCACCGGGATAATAGAAGAAGTGTTCCCTGGCCAGGGGAAGACGACCAGCGTGGTGTCCCTCCCCCCACCATACAGTGGCAGACACACACTGACATGTACTAGACAGACGCACTCAAGCAAGCAAGCACATACACACGCACACACACGCGCACACACACACACACACACACACTGAGGGGCACACTACACCCACTGTGAAATGGACGCACTTCGAAACAGACGGGCACAGACACGGGGCACACTCAGGTGGACAGACACATGACAGCCAGAAAGGCGATACAGATAAAGAACAGGTCACACAGACGGACAGACATAGGCACAGGACCCACTTAGAGGGACACGCAGAGACACAAACACACAGACACGCACACGGGCACACACTCAGACACAACCTGTTCCGGTTTGCGGAAAGACCCGGGTACAAAAGTTACGAAGTCGGCGGGGGTAAGGGTCCCTGGGGATCCGCTGACCTCTCTCCGAGGCTGTTCCCTCTTGGGAGCGGGCATCACTGAGAGGGGACAGGAGGACAAAGGGGGAGGAGAGATGGGCAAAGGGGGCACTAGCCGACGTGCCCCTGGGTGAAACCTGCTCCCAACCCCGGCTGCTCTTCTCCCAGGCCGGGAGAGCTCCGAGGCTTCCCAACAGGCTATCCTTACCCCGTAGTCCCAACTGAGAGCCTTTTCCACCCCTACCCCACCCCCACCAGCCCCAGCCAGGCCAGAGTAGCTCTGCTCTCCTCCGAGTGCCTCCTCTCTCCTTTGCGGTCTCTCTTCCGTTCTCCTCATCTCCGCCTTCCTCCGAGATGTCTCTGGCTCCCAGGTCCCCTTTCCCCAGCTCTGCGCTCCTGACTCGCTCTCTTTTCTCCCCGACCCATTCTTCCTTCTCCTTTCTCTGCCCATTCTCTCTGCCCTCTCGTTTCTCTTCTCGTCTCCACTCCCTCTTTCCTTTTCCCTCTCTCCTTCCCTCCTTCTCCCCCCCCCCCCCCCCCCCCCCCCCCTCTCCACCCCCCCCCTTCGGCCCGGCTCCTCCCTCCAGCCCCCAGGCCCGGCCAGATTCCCTTTCCACATTCCCGCCAGCTCCCCCGGCCAGTGCAAACCTATGGACTGAGAGCCCTGGGGCGCTGACCGAAGCTCGACTCAGTCTCCGGAGCGAGCCGCTCCGAACTTGCGAAACAACAGAAAGCAACACACAACATGTCGGTGTCAGCAACCGGCCGACACCCCCTCCAGGCCAAGCTGCCCTCCTGGCCCGAGCCCCGAGCCCCCAGGAGCCCCGGGCGGAACACAAACAAGTTGTTTTACCATTTTGCGTGCACACACACACACAGACACACACAGAGACACATAGAGACACACAGTCGCAGCACGCACACACATACACACATACAACAGTCACACATACTTCCTTGCTGCGCAGCCCTATCTGCCTCAGGGTGCACGGTTCCAAGGGTATCCAGCGCGGGATCCCAGGTCATAAGTTGGGGTTCGGGGAGCGGGGACCCCGGGGAGGGGGCGGGGAGTCCCGGGGGGTCCAGCTCTCTTACCTGTGGGAGTCTCGCTTTCCAGCGCGCAGAGCTGAAAGGTGAGCGCCAGGATGAGCGCCTGGGCGCCGGTCATCGTGCGCCACCCTCTAGGGCCCCGGGGCCACGGGGAAGGAGCGTAGCCCGGAACCCCGGAGCCTCCCGAGCCGCCGGAGCCGGAGCGGAGCCGGGACTGGCACTGAGTCCGGAGCGGGCGCTGGAGCCGGAGCCGGAGCCCTGACGTCAGGAGCCCGAGCAGCGGCCTCGCGTTCCAAAGGTGGGGGGCGCCTCCTGCCGGTCCTCGGCTGGAAGTGCGGAGGTCTGGAGAACCTGGGCAGGGACTTCGAACCCCGCAACCTGCGGGGAAGTGGCCAGGGGGCGCCGCGACCCCCGAATCACCCACTAAAATGCCGCGGAACTGGGAACAACAGAACGGCACCGATTCGGGGGCATCCTGAGCCGTTTGTGAGCCCACAGTACTCCAATCCGATCAATTAAAATGTCCGGAATCCCATTAGACACTTGGTTTTGTACACATGCTCCCTTCTGGGCCCTTAAGCCACTCAACCCTGGGATCACTATCCCGTGCGTCCAGCACCGGGACCAAAAGCGGGTCCCTCCCCCTGTCCGTTTTACCCGGTCAATCCTCTTGGCACATTCAAACACGTATTCAACAGCACAGCCAGGAATGCAACCTTCCACAAAGGTTCATACACACACTTTCAGCCATACACAAATTCAGAGCCCTTCATACCCTACTACAGGAGTATAAACAATCACAGTATACCTATCAGATCATACGCAAGGCCCAGAGGACCATGTCATCGGATCATAAAATGGCAGATATGAGACCCTAGACCTTAAAATGTTAGAACTGAAAGGGCCTTTAGATCACAGAACATCAGAGCTGGTAGTACCCTCAGAACACAGGCTAAACAGAGCTGGAAGGGCCCTTAGAACACAAGCTAACAGAGCTGGGAGGAATCTTAGGACACAGGATGACAGAGCTGGAAAGGGTCTCAGGACACAGAAGGTTAGAGCTAGATAGGACCTTAGAATACAAAATGTCAGAGCTGAGAGAGCCCTTAGAACCTAGAATGTCAGAGCTAGGAGGAACCTGGGAACCATAAAATGGTAAAACTAGGAACCTTGAAGCACATAATATTAGAAGTATAAGGAGACTTAGCATATAAAATGTTAAAATGCAATGTCAAACCTTATTGATCTTAAAGCTCAGCCACATCACTTTATAGATGGGGAATCTAAACCTCAGAGAAGAGGAAATGACTTGCCCAAAGTCTCACAGTCAAGGACAGTTAAAAACTAGAATTCAGTGGAATATGATATTCTGTAAGGCAAAGGAGCTTGGATTACAACCAAGGATCAACTACTCAGTGAAAATGAGCATGATCTTTCAGGGGAGGATATGGATAGTCAATGAAATAAGGGACTTCCAAACCTTCCTGATAAAAAGACCAGAGCTCAACAGAAAATTTGATCTTCAAATATGAGACTCAAGAGAGACATAAAAAGGTAAATGGGACAGAAAGACACAACACATTGTTAATGAGGGCAAACTGTTTACATCCCTACAAGGGAAGATGACACTTGAGAACTGTATTGAGAAGTAACTCTTGAGAACTGTATTGTTATTACACCATTTTAAAGGGGTATACATAATGAGGCTGGGTACAAGTTAACTTTGATGGAATAATTTTAAAAAATCTAATCAAGTGGGTTAAATGAATCTAAGTAAGTGGATTAATCTGATCTAAGAAAATGTACCGAGAGAAAAGGAAAGGAGGAAGCAGACAAGGGTAAATTACATTACAGGAAAAGGCACAAAATCCTATTACAGCAGAGGGAAAGAAGGGAGGGAGATGAGCATTGTTTGAACCTTACTCTCATCAGATTTGACTCAAGAAGGGAATAACATAATCAGTTAGGTATAGAAATCTAACTTGCCCCATAGGCAGGAGGGAAAAGGGGAAAGAAAAGGGAGGCGGGATAGAAGGAAAGGAAGAAGTAGTAAAGGTAAAAGGGAAGAAAAGGGAAGGGGCTAATAGAAGGGAGGCTGGCCTGAGGAAGATGGTGGTCAAAAGCAAAATATTAGTGAGGAGGGAAAAGGAGAAAGGAGAAAGAAAAGTATAAATGCGGGTGGGGAGGGGAAGGATGGAGAGAAAGACACAGATAGTAATCATAACTGTGAATGTGAGTAGGATGAACTCTCCCATAAAATGGAAGCAGATAGCAGAATGGATTAAAAAACATAATCCTACAATGTTGTTTACAGGAAACACAATTGAAAAAGAGTGACACACACAGGGTAAAGGTAAAAGGCTGGAGCAGAATATATTGTGCTTCAACTGAAGTAAAAAAAGCAGGGGTAGCAATCCTGATCTCAGACAAAGCAAAAGCAAAAATAGATTTTATCAAAAGAGGTAAGGAAGGAAATTACATCCTGCTAAAAGGCATCATAGATAATGAAGTAATATCATTACTAAACATACATGCACCAAATGGTATAGCATCCAAATTCTTAGAGGAGTAGTTCAGGGAGTTACAGGAAGAAATAAACAGCAAAACTATACTAGTGGGGGACCTCAACCTCCCCCTCTCTGAACTAGATAAATCTAACCACAAAATAAACAAGAAAGAAAAAAAGGATCATAACCAACATATTGTAATTGCATACAACATAGAACTTTGAGACATAAGCATCCATAAATTCTAACTTCTACTCCATTGTTTGACTAAAAGCTATGTACTATGAACTATGTATGAAAATTGGTGTTGTAATATTTGGCTTCAAAACCAACAAAGCATTTGTGATAACTCTCCATTTATGCTACTGCCAATAAATGAGGTACTTTCTATAACTGAATTTTCCCAACAAACTAAACTTATTTTTAAGCACTAAAAAAAAACAACTAGAATTCAGACATCTTGACTCAAATACTCCTTCCATCTTCCCTCAAATATGCTTGTGGTCAGTTAACAAACATTTATTTAGCACATACTGTGTGCCACGTGCTGTGCTAAGAGCTGAAGATACTAAGGAAGACAAAAACAGGCCCTGCTGTCAAGAAGCTCACAATCCACTGGGAGAAGTAGCATGCAAAGGACTAGGTATATAAAGGATATATCAGGATAGAAGCTTTGTACCTTCCCTGCAACATATGGGATTTGATTGATCACAAAATATGTAGGATCATAGATTTAGAGCTGGAAGGGGTCTTAAAGGTCAGTTAGTCCAATCCCCTCATTTTACAGGTGAATAAACTGAGACCCAGGGTCCCACAGGTAGTAAGTGGAAGTAAGAATTTGAACTCAGATCCTGAGATTCCAAAACCATCATTTTTTTTTCTACTGTGCCATGCTGCTGGGAGGGAGGGGGAGGGGGAGTTCCCTTGACCAAAAAAAATTTATTGAATTACAAATACTGCATATATGTATATATACATATATGTGTGTATGTGTGTATGTATGTGTATATATATGTGTGTATGTGTATATGTGTGTGTGTGTGTGTGTGTGTGTGTGTGTGTGTATGTGTGTGTGTGTATGTATATATAGCACCTCTGGCTTGGAAGCTCTACCTCCCTTCATGGCTCAGCTCAGGTGCCAAGGCCAATATATTCCTATATATTCCTGCAGCTACACTCCAGGCGGTTGCCAACCTTCCCTAGCCCTAGTCATGGTAGTCCCTCCACCCTACCAAGAGAATGTGGCTGCTCTTTGCTACTGTCTGTGAGATCTTGGGAAATTCACAAAGTCTCTGGCCAGCAGTTTCCTCACTTAGGAAATGAAAGGCTTATACTGAATGCTTTCTAAGACTCCTTCCAGCTTTAAAGCCTATGAAGCCTGCCACAGTCTACAATCAGCAGTTGCTCCCTCTGCAGGACGCTGGAGTCCCAGCAGCCCCCGAGACCACGGACTGTTTACTGGCACCCAGGTTAACATTCTCTTGGTGCCTTTGTGTGGAACTCAAGTCACCAGTGCCTGGGGCAAAGGTCTTGGCGAGGTGCCTAATGTCCAGAGCCTTTGGTCTCTTTCTTCAAGCCTCCTTCCTGGGCACGAGGGGCAGTATGTAATGCAATGTAGAGTCCCAGAATCTAAAAGCAGCTTGGAAAGGGCCGTCCTTAACCTCATTATCTCCGAGTTCCAGCCAAATTGGCCTGTCAGAGGCTCCCTTTTCTGTCGTTGTTGCGGTTTTTTTTTTAAAGATTTTTTTAAGATTGGTTTTTTTCCAAGGACTCTTGCTTCCTCCAACTGTTTCTTTTAACCAGAAAATAGCAGTCCTTCTCCCACCTCCACACCTTTGCCCGGACTGTCTAGTCCTCTTACCTGAAATGTTCTCCTTCCTCGCCTCTGCCTCTTGGAACCCCTAACTCCCTTCAAAGCTCGGCTCAGGGGCCAAGTCCCAAAAGAGTTGTTGGTGCTACCCCTCCATCCTCCCCACCTCCAAAAAAATACCTAATCATTTTGTATCTATTGTGTTTGTATTTCCTGATGTCTGGCATACAGTAAGCACTTAATTAAGGCTTGCTGAATTGAATTGAGCTCAGAATTTGTCTAGACCATACTACACATAAACGGGTCTCTTTTACAGCAACCCCAACAAGAAGTTATCCAGCTTCTTGTCTGAAGACCTCCTGTGATGGGCACAGTGTAATCGCTGTGGGACTTGGGAGTCAGGAAGACCAGAGTTCAAATCCTGCCTCAGATATTTACTAGCTATGGGACTCTTGGCAAGGCATTTAACCTCTGTTTGCTTCCATTTCCTCATCTGTAAGATGGAAATAATAATAGCACCTAGTCACAGGGTTATTGTGAGGTTCAAATAGGTTAACATATATGTGTAAAGTGGTTTACAAACTTTAAAGCACTTCAAGGGTGGGGAACCTGCAGCCTCGAGGCCACATGTGGCCCTCTAGGTCCTCAAGTGCAGCCTGAATTCAGTCAAAGGACAGCCACCCCTGCACTATATAAATGCTATTATTCTTTCCTCCCAAGGCAGCCCATTGCACTCTGGGACAGCTCTAATCTGGGACTTTTTCTTTACATGCAGTACTGAAAGTCAGAAGACCTGGTTTGGAGGCCCTCTCCCCTCTCCCTACCTCAACCCTGCCCCACCTTC